ATTATACTTGGTATAGGAGGTCTATCGCATACGTACAATAATATGCTATACTTAATATTAACGAATATATTATTATGTTCAGTAGGGTCCATTAATTTCCTTCTTGAAGACTGAATATAAAAAATAAACAAATTAAATATGCCTATATACCTAATGTAATATAATACCTAGTAAATCAAATCAAAACTATTCTGTAACAGGTGGCAGTTATCAGTTATAGTAATGATTTACAATTTAATTGATTTAAACACAATATTATGTTTTAAAATATTATGTACCTATTATTGTGCATAATATTTTATGCAATTAAAAAAAACTCACCGAAAATTACTATGTACAATTTACATATTTACAGTCACGCCTAGATAGCTTATCACTTTTCAAGACAATTATGCAAAAACAAGATAACTTGACGGCTTTACCAATTATACATATATATATATATAGATTATAGTTGTATACTCATATTCGTATATACATACCTACTTATCAAGTTCGTAACTGAAAAACATGTTAGGGGGTCAAACCGTTTTTAAGATAACTGGACACTCATCACAATATGTTTAAAATATAAAAATCTTTATTCTCATTATTACTGCATTTACAAAAATATAAAACTAGGTATTCTTAATTAAATAGTCAATAAACAATATTTACGTAGTTAGTTTATATATTATACATATGTGGAAATTAGGTGAAATTAGGTTATTTGTTTATTTTTTCAACTATTTGTTCCTGTATAATTTTTCCTCAAATGTCAATAAAATTATTCTGGATCAGTATTCAGAGGACTTAAATAAGAAGCATTCAGTTTTTTATTTTCCAAATAGTCATTTAAGTATTTATCACCTGTGTTGGTCATTTCTAATATAAGTGGTCCGCAATCATTAATACCACAAAAAGCTATTTCTTGTCAGCCACATAAGAATATAAGATTATAGTTACAATTAGCGGTATTAATCTTTTGCGATTTAAACGTATCTATGCTGCACGCATTGAGTCTAATTTTGGTGCAATATTTTGAGGGTTTTTTGAATGGATGTAGCTATAAAATTGTCACCTTGTAAGACATTGGTTTTATGAACATTTTTTTAGCATGTTTCCAATTATTATAATTGTTGACTACTAAAGAGGATCGTTTTTGATTATTGCCTTTGCCTCCAAATTTCTGACCAAATATTATTCAGTATTTACTAACGTTCAAACCAGCTGAATTGAAATTTTAGTTTTTTTTTTGAAATTGTGGATATTAGAAACATATAATACCTTTTGACTTTTCTTAAAATAATTTTGTATTTGGTTTATTTTACTCATCTTTACAAGTTTACGTTAGCACAATCAGCAGTAAAATGAACATCAGAAAAAATTCTATAACACATACTAACCACTAGGTTAGATATACACCAGTGGCGGATCCAGAGCTTAATTTTGGGAGAGGGGGCAAATACTCTCTTTGCCCTTCTCTGGACCCGCTACTGGTATACACTATACAGCATACAGTACTACAATATTGTTATATTAAATAATTTGGATTTTCTGTGCCAGACGTTCGTATACATCTAGCTTATCTCACCCATTAATCCTTATCTTTATTACGACGTTGAAATAAAATAAAATGATACTTTTTATATTTTTATCTTATTTAAAATTACTGCTATAACGAAAATATAAAATTATTCTTAGTACAATATTATAATTTATAGTCAATAAACTATTGTTCAATATTCACAACTAGAATGTTTCTATTTTTAAAAATATCCCCCCCCCACCAGTTACGGCATTGATTACACCTATAGGTGATACTGTACTTGAGCATCTTGAGCCGCACTCAATTATTAATTTTTTAGACATAATTATAAAATGTGTTTATAATAGGTATTGCTAAGCACTCAATGTCTCAATGCGATATGCAGCGAAAAACAAAAATACTTAAAATTCGTCGATTATGGTGACTACAGATTCTGGAGATATTATTAGTAAACACCTTCAAATATCATAATTAGTTTAAAAAAATAGCATATTATTACGTAATTTCATCGAATTCGAGACGACCGTCGCGCACAAAGTGACGCGGACGACTGCAGATTGCAGTAACAACCACTGCCAGTTGGCGGTTATTATTAATATTACATTAATTATTAAGATCGTTCCAAGTTATATGATAGTAAGTTTGTAAAATCGTACGAAATTAATTTAATTTTAGCACAAAATATTAGATCGATGAATGTGTTGATTTTACAATGATGTATGTTTTTTTAATTTTTAATTTATTATTTTTATTTTTGTGTCTGTTATCATTCATCACCGTTTGGGGCAGGTACACTGCTTCACTTTTCTTCAAAAATATCTTGTTCTATGGGAAAGTGAATCTAGTTAGTGCATTCGGGAGGTCAACATTGATAACTTTTAATATTCTCAATAGTTTTCAAAAGCGCAAGGAAAAACAAAACAAAGATTAAGGTAAAAATTTAATTTTTATGCAAAATCGGTTATTGACAAAATTGATTTTTGTTATAGTGTAACTCTAAAACAAATAACCGTAGATACTAGATACATGAAATTATCACTGAATGTTTATGTTAGCATTGTCTATACATGATAATTTTTTTTTTAAATATCTTTCGATTAAAAATATTTTCACTTGTTTTGAGTGGTTTATAGATATTTTCAGTTTTCAATTTCTTAGTTTTTTTTTCTATGAACGTCAATAAAATTTTATTTTTTGGGTAAAAAAGTTTGAAAATTTAATACTAAACTTCTAATTTATTTTTACAATAAAATTTGAAAAATATTAAAAGTACCTACACATTCACAATTTTTTTTTATAAGCATTTAAAGTTTAAATTTTGACAAAAATTGGTTTTCCAAAAAATCGATTTTGGTTTTTGGTGTAACTCTAAAACAAATGAACGTATATACATGAAATTTTCACTGGTTGTTTATAATTGCATTTTCTATACACGATAACATTTTCAAAATATTTTGATTTATTTTGAACTGTTTAGGGACATTTTCATATTTTTTAGTTTTTTTTCTAAAAATATCAATAAAATTTTATAAATCCTTAGTCACAATTTTTTTTTATAAGCATTTAAAGTTCAAAAATTGTAAAAATATGGAAAAATCACGAAAATTAGCGAATTATTTTGAGTTAAGAATTCGTAATAAAATGTTCAGTTTTTATAGCTAAGGATTGCAAATTCAACACAAAGGTTCTCGTAAATAGTTCATACTGTAACCAAAAAATCTAAAAAATATATGAACACGGTTATTTTTTACAGACATTTTAAATTCAAATTTGGACGAAATTACATATTAAAAAACCTAGAATAACTATTTTAGTTATTTTGTTGTGATTGAATAATATTATTCGTGGGTACTTGAAACTTCTAAAGTGTACTATTATATATCTATGATAGTATCACGGTTTTTGTTGATGTATAACGCGTTATAAGTACCTAATGGATATTGTGATATGATTAATTTGGAATTTATTATAGGTACCTATTATAGGTCAATTTTTTGTTTAATACCATAGATATGTATATAATATGTCTTATACATAGACTGACATACCGTCTCCGCTCAGAATCGTTTTTCTTATACAATGATATTATATCGTTGAATTCAAATTTAATACCATCCATTATACAGTGACCCACTTGTAACCTACTGTACAGCAGAGCGACATCCACTTGCCCACCTTTTTTTAATTTATTTTCTATTAATGTAAAAAAAAAATGTATTTGTTGGGTAAAAAGCGTGAAAATGTAATACGCAAGTCTCCTGGTATATTGTTACAATAGTGGCTTATAAATATTTAAAATACACCAGCACACATTTTTTTTATAAGCATTTAAAGTCCGAATTTGGACAAAATTGATAAAATTTAATATTTAAAAAGGTGGGTAAGTGGATGTCGCTCTGCTGTACAGAAGGTTACAAATGGGTCACTGTATAATGGATGCTTTTAAATTTGAATTCAATGATACAATATCATTGTATAAGAAAAACGATTCTGAGCGAAGACGGTATGTCAGTCTAGGTTTAAGACAAATTATATACATATCTATGGTATTAAAAAAAAAATTGACTTATAATAAATTCCAAATTAATCATATCACATTATCACAATATCCATTAGGTACTTATAACACGTTATACGTAAACATCAATAACAAACCCTGATACTATCATAGATATATAATAGTACACTTTAGAAGATTCAAGTAGGTACCCACGAATAATATTATATAATCACAACAAAATAACTAGGTTTTTTAATATGTAATTTCGTTAAAATTTTAACATAAAATGACTATAAAAATAAACTGTGATGGTATATTTTTTAGATTTTTCGGTAAGAGAATTAATTACTTACGTGGAATCTTGTTTTTCATTTTCAATCCTTAGCTATAAAAACTGAACATTTTATAATTTATTAATAACGATGATTAATCATTTTCGAGATTTTGAAAAATTCTGTCAAATTTTTTCAAAATTGTACAGTGTATAGGAAATGCTAATATGAACATTCAGTGAAATTTTCATGTACCTTTTTTTTTTTTTTTTTTTTTTTTCCCCGGTTTAATCGAGGACCGGAGGCGGAACCGCGTTAGCATTACGTCACCTCCGGCCCCCATTTTTTATTGACACAAAACAACTAATTATTTTACATCAATAACAACATAATTTGTCCCCTCGAACTAGCAGACTTTCCACAGCGATCGCTGGTAAAGTATGTGTCTGCCAGCGGGCAAGGCCCGGGGGACGTACAGTGTATGCATAGGAATACAATACGGCTGTCTATTCGTGAAACACAGTGACATTCTTATCAATTTACGTTTTTTTCGTTTATCTTTTTCCACATAGTATTCCGGTTGTAATGGTATCAAAATTGTTACTATGGTCCTACTGTACTAAGAGATATGGTCAATTATATACACTAGTTCGCCATCTAGTTGCAGCGCCTTCACTAATTTGCTTCTCCTGAACTGCTTCTACTGTGTTTTACGAATAGACAGCCGAATAGAAAAATAGACGGTAAACCGTCGACTTGCGGTTTTAGGTTGCCTCTTGCGACGTTCGCCTCTGCTTGGCTGCGTGTCAGTTTTCACTTTTCCAGGCTCTGCTTGGCTGGAACCCGATGCTGCTGTGGTCTGCTTCCATCGGTAATGACTAGCTGCCAGATTGGGAGCGCGTGCTCTCGTTCCGGGCTGTTGTTTCGTACATTCGATTGACACTTTGTTGAGACTGCGTTTTTTTACCGGTTTTTCGGTTCTAGCTCGGCCGGTTTTCATCTGACGGCTTCGGGAGCGAAAATTTTGCCCCCTCCGAAACCTCCCGTCCGGCTTTTGGGGCCCTGGACGTGGACCCGCAAACCCGAACATCCTATCCCAAAAGGGGGCGGAGATATCGGGTGGGCGGCAATGGACTGCTCGATGTTCTAGACGGCCTGGACAGTGGACAGGAGCTTGCCTTACTCGTTCTTCCTCTTCTTTCAGTGACAGGATGCCCTCGGTCATCTTGTAGAACAGCCTGAATTCTTTGGCGGCGTTGTGGAGTAGGCTGGACTTCTCCTCTGCGCGCTCGGGCAGGAGATGGAAGTCAGGCCGGCACAGGAGGTCCGGGAGGAAATCGCTACATGAGAAATCGAGTGAATATCCAATGTTGTAAAAATTTGAATTTCAAACGCTCATAAAAATGTAATTTGACTTTCCGGTTGAGATTTTTTTATTGATAAAGGTAGACAAACTTATGAGTAATCTTGTATTACATTTTAAAATCTTAGATTTAAAAAGAAAAATTTTTACGAATTCTTAACTCAAAATAATTTGCTAATTTTTGTGATTTTTCCATATTTTGTCAATTTTTGAACTTTAAATGCTTATAAAAAAAATTGTGACTATTTTTCATCTGCCTTTGAAAAAGTATACTAGGAGCCTTCTATTACATTTTCAAGCTTTTTTGACCAACAAATAACATTTTATTGATATTTATAGAATAAAAAAACTTAAAACATTGGAAACTGAAAATGTCCGTAAACAGCTCAAAATATATAAAAGAATTATAAGAATAAAAACACTTATTATCAAAATATTGTAGAAGAGAAAAGGGGGTTCTGCAGTGGCGTAGCCAGGAAATTTTTATGGGGGGGGGGCTAAGTATACAAATACAATGTGTTTTTTATTTACGCTTTTAATTTTTTTATTAATCTTGATAAAATTCTAAGGTCAACATCGGTCAATGGGGGGGGGGGCTATAGCCCCCTTAGCCCCCCTGGTTACGCCACTGGGGTTCTGAATATTATAGATGGGCCTATGCACGGCGTTGTTCGTCGGTAGTACACCAGTGCCGAAAGTCTAGTTGGGTTTCGTTAGGTTTCGTTAGGTTAAGTGAGGTTTAGTTAGGTTAAGTGAGGTTTAGTTAGGTTTAGTGAGGTTTAGTGAGGTTTAATCTAACCTACCGCTGCTTAAGGCATTGTCTGGTATTATTATTTAGATTTAAATAATTTCGATAACGGCAGCGCCATCTAACGCCGCTGAATAATTTTTAACACTTGAAGAACCGGGCCCTCGCAGCTGCTTAATTTCCTAGCTAGATAGCGTTGTCATATACGATTTACAACACTGACATCTCCAAGACACTGCATTAGTGCAATTTTATTAAGAGGACGCTACACATACATTTGCTATCTCCGTCTTACACACGCACGACATAGCAAATTGTCGTTCACTAGTTTCAATAGTGTACTGTTAGTTTTGATACTAGAGTTAATTGACCTATTATAAAACTTTTAGGTAAGAACATTATTTGTGCTAAAAGCGTTGCTGATTTTTCGAAATTTTCATTTTGAAGCAAGATATGGGTATGTGAAATATCAAAAATTAAAAATGCTCATATATCGCTTAAAAATTAAAATATCGAATAAAAGCCAACGCTTAAGCACAGATAATGTTAATATATAATTAATTTATAATAGGTAAAATCACTCTAATATTAAAACTAACAGCACTCTATTGAAACTGGTGAATGAAAATTTGCTATGTCGTACGTGTGCAAGACAGAGACAACAAATGCATGGGTAGCATCCTCTTAAGTTCATATTTTTAGAATATATATATGTTTTCTCGAAAACAGATTTTGCGTAAAAATTCCCGTTTTTCCTTAATTTTTCTTTTGTTTTTCACTTCGCTTTTGAAAACTACTGGGAAATTTCCACTTTTGACCCCCCAAAGTACCAACTAGATTCACTTTCCTATCAGAAAAGATACTGTTGAAGAAAATCCAAGCACTTAATATACTGTCCTAAAATGTGATGACAGACACAAAAATAAATTTAAAAAAAAACACACATCATTGTAAAATCAATACATTCATCGTTCCACTCAGAATCTAATATAATATTACGTATTATGTTTTTGTTCCTTTTCCTTCATAAAACACACACCAACCTTACATACCATACATACATACCCAGGGCCGTCCTTTGAGGTTGGCGTGAGGGGTGTCTAACCCCCCCCCCCCCCACTCATGATTTTTTAAATATTTAGTCGGCAAATTGGACACTTGGTAAAAGTTGTCGGCAATTTGGCATCGTCAGTATTTTAATAGTATTTTTATTATTTTCAAAATATATTTGTATATAATATTATATTTCTATAAAAGATAAGACGACGACGACGTCGACACTTCGATTACACCGAATGTTAAAAATAGATGTGTGTATCTACTATCAGTGCATTGCGCGACTGTTGTACAACACGTATAAGTATGTAAACTGTTACCCGTAGTCGTATGTATTGACGAGAGGAATACGATTCCGCACGTTTTTTTTTTTTTTTAACACGATTCCGCACACTTTATTCATAGGAATACAATAGGAATTGGGTGCAACGTTGTCAAATTTATTACAAACGGTTTATTATAAAAAATGTATAATAATATTATAAAAAAGGTGGGCAAGTGGGTGTCGCTCTGCTGTACAGTACGGCTGTCTATTCGTAAAACACAGTAAGTGTATTTCACAAAATTGTTCAGGAGAAGCAAATTAGTGAAGGCGCTGTCCATGCAACTAGATGGTGAACTAGTGTATATAATTGACCATATCTCATAGTACAGTAGGACCAGAGTAACAATTTTGATACCATTACAACCGGAATACTATGTGGAACAAGATAAACCAATAAAACGTAAATTGATAAAAATGTCACTTACTGTGTTTTAGGAATAGACAGCCGAGTAGGTTACAAGTGGGTCACTGTATAATGGATGATATTAAATTTGAATTCAACGATATAATATCATTGTATAAGAAAAACGATTCTGAGCGGAGACAGTATGTCAGTCTAGGTATAAGACATATTATATACATTATAAATATCTATGGTACTAAACCAAAATTTGACCTATAGGCTATAATAGGTAGGTACCTATAATAAATTCCAAAATTAATCATATCAAAATATCCATTAGGTACTTATAACGTGTTATACATCAACAAAAACCGTGATACTATCCTAGATATATAATAGTACACTTTAGAAGTTTCAAGTATCCACGAATAATATTATTCAATCACAACAAAATAACTAAAATAGTTATTCTAGGTTTTTTAATATGTAATTTCGTCCAAATTTGAATTTAAAATGTCTGTAAAAAATAACTGTGTTCATATATTTTTTAGATTTTTTGGTTACAGTATGAACTATTTACGAGAACCTTTGTGTTGAATTTGCAATCCTTAGCTATAAAAACTGAACATTTTATAATTTATTAATTACAATGATTTATAATTTTCGAGATTTTGATAAATTTTGTCAAAATTTGATCTTTAAATGCTTATAAAAAAAAACTGTGCCTATGTATTTTTAATATTTTTCAACTGATATTGTAACAATATATCAGGAGCCTTGTATTAAATTTTTACACTTTTTGGCCCAACAGATTAAACTTTATTGATATTTATATAAAAAAAAACTAAAAAAAATTGAAAGCTGTAAATGTCCATAAACAGCTCAAAAAGAGTCAAAATATTTTCAAAATTGTATGGTGTATAGGAAAAGCTAATCTGAACATTCAGTGAAATTTTAATGTATCTATAGTTATTCGTTTTTGAATTACAACAAAATAAGAAAATCGTTCCATGAGAAATCAAGTGAATATCCAATGTTGTAAAAATTTGAATTTCAAACGCTCATAAAAATTTAATTTGACATTCCGGTAGAGATTTTTTTATTGATAAAGGTAGACAAACTTATGAGTAATCTTGTATTACATTTTCAAATCTTAGATTTAAAAAGAAAAATTTTTACGAATTCTTAACTCAAAATAATTCGCTAATTTTCGTGATTTTTCCATATTTTTACAATTTTTGAACTTTAAATGCTTATAAAAAAAAATTGTGAGTAAGGATTTTTAATATTTTTCATCTGCCTTTGAAACAATATATTAGGAGCCTTCTATTAAATTTTCAAGCTTTCGCAACCAACAAATAAAATTTTATTGATATTTTTATAAAAACTAAAAAAAAATGGAAAATGAAAATGTCCCATAACAGTTCAAAATAAATCAAAATATTTTGAAAATGTTATCGTGTATAGAAAATGCAAATATAAACAACCAGTGCAAATTCCATGTATATAAGTTCATTTGTTTTAGAGTTACACCAAAAACCAAAATCGATTTTTTGGAAAATCAATTTTGCGTAAAAATTCCCGTTTTTCCTTAATTTTTATGTTGTTTTTTCCCGGCGCTTGTGAAAACTACTGGGAAATGTTTACTTTTGACCCCCCAAAGTACCAACTAGATTCACTTTCCTATCAGAAAAGGTACTATTGAAGAAAATCTAAGCACTTTTACTGTCCCAAAACTTGATGACAGACACAAAAATATAAAAAAAAATATAAAAATATAAAAACATACATCATTGTAAAACCAATACATTCATCGCTCCGCTCAGAATCTAAAAAAACACACATCATTGTAAAATCAATACATTCATCGTTTCACTCAGAATCTAAAATGTATTAAAGTTCAACTTTTATAGTGAAATATTAAAATTCAAAACAAGATTATACGTAAAAAAGTAAAAAAAATATTTTATTCACGATAATATCATCAATTAATATACTAAGGTAATAATATTATACTAATATATCATATTATATAGGCTGACTGACGGTCTTCACTCAGAATCGTTTTTCGTATACACTGATATTATATTATTGAATTCAAATTTAACACCATCCATTACAGTGATCAACTTGTTATCTACTGGCTACTATACAATAAAGCGACACCCACTTGCCCAAGTGTAACTTTTTTTTATTTTAATTTAACAGTTATTGAAAATGCATTTTACAATATTATTATAACAATAATTGGATATTAATTATGCACTTAAAAATTTTGAGGGCCAGGAGGGGGAGTTAAGGCCTTTACTATAAAGATCTGGGTGGATCAGCCCCTCAAGCCTCTCCCCGATTTCCGCCTATGCCCCTGGCCCCCCGCCCCCCGCCCTTGGGTTACATCCTTACTACTTATAAATAATGATAGATACATAATATAATGTACAACAATTTAATTGTTTTAATTACCTATAGAGGTACGTGGCTATATTAACGTATATTATATGTTTCGAATAAATGGAACTGCGTAGCTATTACACAAATAATATATAACGATTATCAACTAACAATAGTACCTATATAAAGTTAATATTCATATTTTGAAATTTGCGATTCTTTTTGCGCTTTCCCAAAGGAAACTTTCTTCGGCCGTCGGTTGGTACCGGAACATTTTGCCTTTGTTCGTCACTACTACGTGTGGTGGTACCATCATCAGGTACCTGTTCACATCTTTTGCATATTCAGCCGGTGGGGCGGCGACGCAAAAACATAACAGTTCGTGAAAATATCCGAACGTGGACCACAGGATAACCACCGAGACGGCGACCACTGGCGTCCAGAACCGGACGAAATCATTGAACCGCTCGAGGACAGCTAACGTTTCCTGCTCGGTGACAGCTTTCCGATACTGGCGCCACAGGCATTGCGCACTTCTCCAACCCATGTGCAAATATTTAACGGCTGCAGCCGTTTTCATGACCCGGGGTCTACCTGCAGCATCTAGCAAGTAACCGTCCACGACCGTTTTGGTCGTCTGTGACTCATAATAATAATTGTTATTTGTCACTACTGTCACCGCCTCTTCACCACTCGTCACCACTGAAGCAGCTGATCTGTCCCGTATCTCAAATATGCCACGATTCCCAACCTCTATCGCCGTGTAGTCCTCCGCCGCCGCAGCCTCGTCTAGGGATTCGATTCCAACCGGTACTGCACGAATAGATGTATTATTATTATTATTATTATTATTATAAGCAGAACCTTTCTAAACATAATACTAGTAATATTACTATTATACGTTATACTAGGAAAATATAAAAAGTAATATATAATGTATGCGACTACTAAGATTTTTCTAGCTCGTCTAAACATTTAGGGAATATTTCTACGGTTATTAGTTAATAGTTTTTGAGTAACACCAAAAAAACAGAATTGAATTTGTCAAAAAATGGTTTTACGTAAGAATTCTTATTTTTGTTGTTTTGTTTTTCCTGATGTACCTACTGGGAATTTCTTACTTTTGACCACCCAAACTTCTAATTAGATTCACTTTACTACCAGAAAAGATGCTGAGGTAGAAAATTGGAGCATTTTATGGCTCAAAGAGGGGATGACAACCAGCAAAAAATAAACACGCATCATTATAAAATCAATATATTCTTTCGCTCCGTTCAGAATCTAAAAATGTATAGGTAGGTACCTATATCTTATTTCTACTAATTATAATAGTAATATACTAATATAAAATGAAAATAACCAATGGCAACCATTTAAATAAATAAATAAAATATTATTTTTTCGTGAAATGAAAAAAAAATGCATGTATGAGCTTCCTTTTAGGCTCTAACCTATATAGGTAGTAAAATTATAAGCTATAAACACATTCCAATTCTCAAGGAACTCATTGATATAACTTTAATTGAAAACTGCCTAGTAGTTTTTAAGTCTATTAATTACAGACAGGTCAATATCAACAATATCCAATTATATATATCATACTATATATAGATTACAGAGATAAAATGCTTATCCCTGCATATTCCCTTGTCGGGAAGTCGAACCTCAGAAATTATGAAACACAAACATACTATAATATATTTCGTTTTAGTAGTAACGTATATTATCATTATAATAATATGATGAAGATGGTATCAAATATAATTTATTAATACCAACTTAAGTTATAAAATTGTACCTATCTATAATCTAATGTTCATACTACATACCTATTACCCGGTCATCCGGATAATGTGAACCTTATTCATATGAACACTGAACAGTGACACAGTGTAATGAATACATTATCCACCTTAAATATTTATTATCCAATCAATTTATACATTATCCGGTGTGCTGTGGATAAAGTATTCGTATAGCTATAATCGTAAGCTGATAACGTCTGTACAACATGACCAACGAATTGGGGGGGGGGGGCACAACATGTATATTGTAATTTTATTGAATTTAGGTTTTGATATTTGCTTAAAAATAAGATATTGAAAACATTTCGGGGGGGGCAGAACACCTGGACCCCCCTCAGATACGGTCTTGTGTACAAGTGGTATATCTTAAACATTATATTAATTATAATGAATATAGTATTAAATATTAATTCATAATTAAATATTTAAATCGATATGTCGAATATTCGCTAACCACCGTGATCGAGCCTGTACGGCTTCTGCAAGGAATGGTCTGCCGATTTCGAACGGTCTTCGCGGCGTCGCTGGCGTAGTGAATTCAACTTTTCGAAAAACGCAGTCATTTTTTCGGCCGAAACGATGTCGTCAGCTTGTACCGGTAGTAGGTCGTCTGTATCGTCGTCTTCATCGTCCTCGTCATCCGTCCAATTGAACGTATTTATATCTTCTTCGCCGTGGTAAACGTCAACGGCCTGCGGCACCCAGCAACAGGTCGGCGGCACGTAATACGCGTGTACGGTAATAATTATTACTATTATACGAGAAACGTGGGCTGTACCGTAGTGATATCCTCCGATGACGGTCATTTTCGCAATATAATGTTTACCGAGTATTATATGATATAGATACCAACATTACACGATTCACCTATAAAAGTAAATATTATAATAAGGATTACTCATTAGCTAAAAACTCGACTAAAATATATGATTATTATTGTGGATTTTCATACAATTTATTATGATAAACGTGTGTAATTTTGTTACTTGATTTGATGCGAGATCGTACTGCTGTAGGTACTGGGTAATATTTGGTATTTCGTGTTTACGCGTAGCTATGTAATTTCCAATATTTTCGATAAAATATGAATTGTAAAAAACATAAAATAACAACTATATAGGAACAACCTAAGCTGGCCACTTTGTGTAAAATAAAGTAGGTACCTAATGCAATATAAAATTGTACAAGAAATAACAGACTTTGGTAAATTGTTATTATTGGTCTCGTGCACGACATGTCTATTAGCACATAATATATATTTTATAATTAGACATTTAAACATTTAACACATTTTTTTCAGAAAAAATACAATTATAATTGTAGTGCATAAATGCATCATACATTATAGCTACAATTTAATAACAATATTGATAGTTTTATTTATTTTTTAAATTCATGGATTTTAAAGATAATCCACCAAGTAGGTATTATACTATTGTAAGATACTGAAATAGTTGTTGTACATACACACTACACATCATACACACACGCTACGCCACTGGTGTAAGACGTAAGTACATTGTAGTATTGTACATCCGTACATAATCCGTACATCAAACGAGTATAACTGTCTAAGTATTTCCGTGCTATGAAATATGAGCACTCCTAAATAAAAGTATAAACGTAATATAAAATTTACCTGTACGGTGTATGGTCGCGTGTCTTATCAATCAGGAGCACAGTACGCAAATAAGTAAAAAATCAGTAATGTATAGTAACATACTTACATAGCACGTTATTCTCACCCAGCTTTCAATTTATGAAGACGACGACGATCGACGACTTCCGAAGAAATTGATAAAATTGTTAAAATTACGTGTATTATTTTCGTATTTTATTTCAATACATATATATATAAACAATTCCGGCAAAGCTATAATTGTGTGATGTACTGATGTGTGAATGTCACATGTTCTACATTCAATAAAATATTATTGTAAATTATATAATATGGGATAAACTATACATAAGAGTCGAGAGCTTAAAATAGTTTTATGTTCTTTATATATTATATGTACATAACCATTTACATTGGCATCTATCGTTATGAGAATGTGTTGGTCAGTGGCACGATTTACCACCACTGGGTAGCATTCAAATATCACTGGGGGACACTAGTGCCACGTACTTTGTATGTTAAAATATGCTCTGCTTTATAAAAAGATACTTCATAATATATAAGATATAACATTTCCAAATGGGGTGCTAAAGCCCTCGGGCCTCGAAATGATAGATAAGTACTGCACGTTTTCGATAAAAGTGATACACTTAGGCACACTATCTATATATAGGCGTGCTCAGTTTTCAATCAGGGGAAGCAAACATTTTTGCTGATCTATTTTTTTTATATTATAAAATAATACATTATTTATATTAATATTATCGCGTACCTAGTTAGGTTACCTAGTACCTAGTGCATCCTATTATGACGGGACACTGCCACACGGGAAAGTTTTCGATCAATTATATTAGATATACGCCATAGAAGTCTTTTGAATTTGAATAATAATTATAATATACTATGGTTTGTGTTAAAGATGACCTATTTAAACACAGAAAAGAGTAGCTTCGTTATTCAACACACTTTTTAGATAACTTACTTATTTTTTTATATAGCAATATACGATGGCCTAGTTTAGACAGTTGGGCTTGTTCGGCCCTTACAAATGTAGTTGATCAGTTCAGGAGACAGAGACCCTGCTGCCCCTGTGCGCACTCTAATATGGTCACTCAAAAGAGCTAGTACACCTGTAAAACCATGTAAGTACCATGACGTACTTGGTCTGATGCGTTTCGTAAATAGTTTTTTAATCTTTTCATGGTAGAAAATGTGCGTTCTGGACTTCTAGTGTTGAAACTGATAATATACATATTGGTTGAAAAATCTTGAAAATCTATTTTTATTAATTTTATAAAAAAAACTACAATAGCGGGCAGATATACTGTAAAGGCCAAAGGGTATCATGCCTAATGTATTACATCGACGATATCAACATTTTACACCGACGGGATTAACTTAGTCGTCAAGGTCTTAACCTTACGGTTATCAGACGATCGTCTGATTTATAAAATCTAGATGTGTACAAATGTCAAATGATAACTAATTATATATAATGATGAAAACGTTTTTGATGGCCCAAGAAAAGGCTATTTTTATAATAATGGGTGCCAAACAACTATGGGTAATTACTTGTAGATAATCTGTAATTAGTTTTATTACATGCGGGTCAATCAAAGCCGGTGAATATGGAGCCATAATAATATTATGTTAAAAATTGAGAAATTCTGATTACTAATCTTAATAATTATGTGAAAAACTGACCAAAGTATGGTCTATTCTGTAAATAGGAAATCCGGGAATTTAGTAATATCTCCCTATTTTTTGAAGAAATCATCTTCTGTTTTATACTATCTAGTATGCGTGAAAAAAATGTAAAAAAAAAAATATTTTTGGACTGGTACTCATTAGTTATTCTGAGTAATGTTTTAAGTACCCATTTATTTGAATAAAAAATAAAAGCATTTCTGACTATAGACTGTGGCCAGTGTCGGCCTGGCCAGGGCCGCGGGGCCGCGAACGCGGCCGAGGCCCTGAGCTTTTTTTTTTTTTAGTTTATAATTAGTGGCCAGGACCACCACCCCAACGTAGAGTAGTCAACAAAGCGTCAAATATACGGTACAATTAAATGTACGACGATGAACGAGGGAGTGTAGATCACTGGGGCCCACAGGCTGCAGGGGCCCCAGCCGAAGTCTTAACTAAAAATATTGTTTTCTATATTAGATTTGGATAACAATTTTTACAATCAATATGACCACCCCAATTTTTATTCACAAAAATAATCGTAAAAAACTTTAATAGAGCCCTTCATTGAAAGTGACAATTGGCCTAGTTGCGCTACTGACGAAGTGTATAAACGGGGCCGGTTTAGAGAGAGCCCACGGGGCCCGGGGCCTCACAAGATTCAATTAATAAGAGGCCCCCACGAGATAATTACCTTTTAGCTTATGCAGTAAGTTATATGTCAACCTTATATGGCCAGATGATGGGCCCTAGGGCCCCCACAATCCTAAATCCGGCCCTGTGTATAAGTTATAGAATTTGAGTGTAGTGTACAATCACTACAAACACGTACCTATCTACTATCTAGTACGATATAATAGAATCTATATTTTGTCATGGTGTATACGTGTGTGGTGTGCTGTTTACTCGTATAAGGTGTAGTACAAATGTAATGATAAACGAGATGATTTGAACGCACATAAGATTTTTTGTACAACAAAATTGTCGGGAAAATCGTAACGAGTACAAATACAATAAGTCAATAACGTCTATGTGTGGGGCCCTGTATGGCCGTACAATAGGTTTGATAAATTGTCTAATCAATTATTATCATTAGCGCTATATCGAAATAAAGAAGTAAGAACAATTAAGTTAAGTAATTAAAGAACTTTCATTTCATTCAAACTCATTTTATAATTTATTTACAGTTTATAAATATGTATTTATTTTACCCTCTACTCAAGTGACTTGTGAAAGGGTATTTTCTAAACTGAAACTTGTGAAGTCTAAAATCAGATCAACAATAAGTCAACAACATTTAATGCTTATTGCAATTGAAAAAGATATCAAGATTCAGAAAACTCAAATTATTGATACTATAGCTACATAACTACCTAAGTCATCTAAAATGTTACATGAATTGCTCATTTAGTATTTAAGTTTTTTATATTTAGCTATTACTTTCTTTAAAAATAATGTTGTGTCAACTTTTGTTCATTGTTCGTCTTCTTTATTATATTTTGGATGATATCTTTTTCGTAATTTGAATTACATTTTGTTTAGTACCTTATTAAAATCATGTGTATCATTAAGCACGTCAGAAGTTAATACTTGGTTTTAGACTTTAGTAGAGAATTGTAAAAGTGGAAAAATTTTAATCGAGCGACTATTTGGTGAGTGGGGGGAGGGAGGTAAAAGTCAGCGTTAATAATTGGCGTTTAACGGTCAGCATCAAACGGTGCTGTTCAATATACAGGTTTCACTTTAATCACACAACTATAGTCATTTTTTATTTTTATTCATAAGAAAAAAACTGAATTCTGACATAATATATCATAAGTTAGTTTACAAAAAATAATTCATTTACACATTGGCTGATTGAGCGGGGGGGGGGGGATATACAATAACTCTAGGAACGAAATTGTTCATATATAGTAAATGAAGAAAAAAAATCGAGGCCCCAGAGAAAAATTGCGGCCGAGGCCTTTTATATGCCAGGCCGACACTGACTGTGGCTACTAGCTAGTCCTAGTGCAGTAGCAATGTACCCGGCAGGAGTGATAATTTATAGAATTTAGTTATATCACAGAATAAATGAAATGTCATTAAATTTATTCTGTGTTATAAGTACAGAATATAGAGATTACAATTATTAGGGAATAAGAGGTATAAGAGAAAATAATAAATCGAAATTATCCAACCAAACTATTTTTGATAAAATATTTATATACTTCTTATCAACATCATGCAGTAACTTAGGCTAGTTAGTTCAACTCGGTTGCAGGACTTTCTAAGAAGAGCCAAGAGGTATTGAATCTGGGATTTTAGAAATTGAATATACGTTTGGTAGATGTAGATTGTAAACGTTGGCAACTTTACTAACTACTATAAGAACATGTTTACAATTTTACATAATTAAATTACCTTTATCAATTATCTGTATAAAATATAAATATTAAGTTAGCTCTTTTTTTCATGGAATTACATAATTATTGAAGTGCGATTAGTTTGAGTGTGGTTTGAGCGAGAAACTATAATTAAATATTTATATATTAATATTTATTATTAAATATTTAACATATTGTAAATATATCAAACAAAGATTGTACAAAAATAAATAATAATTTTATGAAAATAGGTCCCACGTCCATTAAACACTAAATTGCATACTATTGTGTAGTAGTAGTACATTTATACCTACTTTATATTATATAAATACTTTATTGAAATTAAATACAAAGTACAAAACTACAAAGCGATAACATTGTCAATTGTTTTTACCTAATGTATCAACAAAATAAAACCTTGGTAATATAATAACCTTATATACTATAACATATCATGGTATCATACTACCATAATGTAAACATTTGAATGGAATTTCGAAGAACTTTGAAATTTAAAGCTGTGTACAATAATTTATCATTTGTTTCTGTATATTTTTTATAAGTACGTTCATTGGGTATTTAGATTTTAGATAAATCGGTTATCATATCAATATATCATACAATAATCGTGATGAATCATAAATAAAAAATTGTGACATATTTTTAATATATAAATGAAAACAATATTGAAGACGATCATATTACCTACAGTAATCAGTAATCACTAATCAGTAATCAGCATCGTAGTTTGTAATCCTATTACAGCTGCATGGCTGCGCACGCCTGTACACCAAATTATACTTGTATAAGGGTTGGGTATTACCTGTTTTGGCAGTTCGGTTTAAGTATTCAAAATCCACACAACGTTTGGGCATTCGATATCCTAAAGATACCATGTTTGCTGTTTGGGTATTAAAATGAAAGAAGTTATATCTAGTGTTAAGAAAATATAGAAGCCATGTATCAGGGTTGGAAATTAGTTTTTCTAAGGGGGTCTGGATGCATCCAAATCATGGTTTTAAAAAAAGCCAAGGTCCAGGAAACTTTTTTTTTCTTTCTTAGCAAGTTATTTTTAATCCTCAGACAAATAATAAAAAAAAACAAAATTCAGCAATAAAGCAAAATATTTTCGGCGTTATTTCCTCTACGCTGCTTTATTGCCGACTCCTGGGCTCTGGCATATAATGTAATACTGTATTATAGGTAATTTTAGGTACCTACTAATAATTACCTATTAATATTTATGATAATTAAAACCACGGGAAATTATAATATACCTTGATTAAAACGGTTTAAGTCTAATTTGCATAACAATATTGAATAAAATCTTTTACTGAACATAATATAAATATAAATTTCAAATAAAGCCTTACGGGTACTTTGGTTTCTGAACTGTAACTGCTGGAAGTTTCACGACCCCATATATACTTATACGTGTTTTATATTTTTCCCTGGTTCGATCAATTCTTGAATATGGATCAATAATTTGGATTCCATATTCCCATACCAAAAAGTACCTTATACAAAAATTGGAACGAATCCAAAACCGATTCTTAAGAATGTTAACATATAAAACAAATAAAATCAAACTATCCCTAAATCATTATTCATAGAGTTTAATTTAATATTGAAACCTTAGAAGTTAGAAGGCAATATAATGATTTGTCTTGGTTTCATAATTTACTAAATTCTAAAATAGATTGTCCTGAAATACTAGCCATAATACCATTAAACGTGCCAAATTTCAAGTTAAGATCTACCTCTACCATTTTGTTCCTACGTACAAAAAAAATACTGTCTTTTCGCGTCAGTTAACCGAATGTTAACATTAGGAAACAAGCTTGATCACTTTGATTTTTTTTCCATGCTCTTCATGATTTTAATTTTGAAACGTTGTTTAAAAAATTATTATAATTCATAGTATTTCTGTGCTTAATTTGCTTAATCATGTTATTTACTTATGTTTTTTAAATAGCTGTTATCAACATTCTTTTTCTATTTACTTGTATTGTAATTGTTTATAGTTATGGCTCATATGCTTAATGTATTGATACTATTTGTACTCCATGCCCCGTTTAATCCTCAATAAAAAAAAAAAAAATAATAAGCAAAATAATAATAGAAATAGTATGATATTAGTACAATACTCATATTAGGAAAATAAAGCACAGAAAAAGATTTTAAAAAAAAACTATTTAGTATTTACTATATAATTTATATTTATATTTATTTATTTATTATTCTTATAATATAAGGTTATTATTGATTTTTCATTTACCATTATCATAATTATTATTATAAAATTATTTTGTTAAAATGATATATGGTCAATGACCATACCATTGGTCATGGTACAAATTCTGTTAACATACATTTTGTATTTCCGGTACGTGTTTTGACGTAATGATAAAAACATCCTCTTATTTCTAAATCAAATCATATGTGTAGATTGGTTCTAGTAAGTTGATTTAAAGTATATAGAGCTATGAACAATTTGAAAAATTATTAATAATTAATAACATTTAGTTTTCTAAACATTTTTCCTCGAACTTTTTAAATGTTTACCAAATAATAATATAATATCTAATAATTAATAAATAATAATTAAAACATTAATTGTTCAAATTGTATTCTCTTGAAATCAAATTTCCATTATTTTTATTTTTGGCATGACTTGTAGCTTTTTGTTTTAAATAGGTAGTGTATATCTTACATTTAATATATATGTTTAACTTACATAAAATACCGACATAGGTTTATATAATATTTTGTAATATATATATATATCTATTAAAGACTACAGCATAGGCGAAAATAGCGTTTGAATTTTGGGAGGGCTAAAGTCCTACTTTGATTATGTGAATAAGCTTAAAACAAAATTTAGGAGATGTTTGGAGGGCTATGGACATTTTTGGTGGGGGCACTTAGGCCCCTGAATCCCTCCTTCTATTTGTGCCTATATGTGCTAACCACGTGTTAGGTACATAAAAATAGGGTCTAAACGTGTCACGTTTTTGGATAAAATGTCCTTACAGCCAAACGTGTTGTATATCCATATGGGTTTTCCAATTATTGTAATATTAAAATCGAAATTATGTAGGAATCCATTTTACCATTCAGTATTTTAATTTACATTACCTACGGCATCGTGAAAATATAATACATTTGAGGTGCGTGTTACCACGTGGAAACAGGCAAGGAACGCCCCCACCACAACGACGGATTATTTTCGATAACAGAACAAGTGGACGATGTTTGAATGGTATGCGTCGTGTCCTTGGTGACAGGGGAGGGCGCCTGCAGGTGGCCGAGCGCAGACAAAATAAATGATAATAATAATATTAAGAGTAATAATAATAATAATAATAATGTCAAAACGTTGTCGCTAAGTAGCCGTCGGAGGCAATGCGTGTTGCCGATGTTTGGGGCCCGTATTAATAATATAATGCCGAGCTCGCCCAGGTTCACGGGAAACGCCTCGCAAACTATATTCCCTCCCATCACCCGCGCGGCACAAGGGGTGATGGGTGGTCGGAGGGCTGTTGGGCACACACCCGTGGGTGTGGGTCACCCGAAGGCTGTGTCGGCGCTGAAGGAACTACAGGGGGGGCCCCGCGTGTGCGTTGCGTGAGCACGTACGTTGACCGCCTCTACGCCCCCGCCCACCGAAGCCAATGCCACTGACACGGTGAAAAAATGTTTTTAGAAAGGAACATCGGTGCCAGCAACAGAACGTTGCCGTCGGCCAGTGGTTTCCAATGTTTTTCTCTAGAAATGCTTAAATATAACGGTCTACGAGGCGTTCGAGCCTAATTTAATACACCGTGCTCAGTTCGACCATAGATTCGAGTGATTCGACTCTTTTATTCGATTCTCCGACAGACAGTTCCACAAAACAAATGCTCAAACATGTTAATAACATTGGTTCCAATCTAGGCATTTGGTGTGATGTGCCGACATAAGAATTATGATGAAAATATTTCAAATTGTGGTATCTAAAATGTGACTATATTATATTATAGTCTATATACCATTTGTAGGTAATTGCCAATGAGCATAATTACGTAAATTTGGCCAAGATCAAACGTTTAAAACGTAAGCGCGTTGCACAAGTTTGTTCTTTGATCGTCGGATTTATAGACCTATAAACTAATAATGATCAGAACGCTTAACTTTTCAAAAATGATGTATATAAGAGATAAGTCTTTACATTTTACAAAAAAAATAACGATTTAAGCGCCAAACTGGGAACCAATGTCTGGGCGGCGACTGCGCCGGCGGGCACAGTTTTGTTTGTCGCTCGTGACAAGCTGTCGTGTGCGTTTGTGCGGTACAGGCTTACCAACTCAGTTTTAGAAACCAGGTGTAATTATGTGATGCTCGAAATTTTTGATTTTCTCCTGTCACGGGGGCTACGTGATGTAAAATCCACTTACGGCCCATAATTTATGGTCGTGACGAGACAACGTTGCATTGCAAATAAAATCGTTTGCGAATACCTAAGGAAATTTGACAAGTTTTTTTACACTTTGGCCTGTGCACGATAAATACCGTAACGTTCTATTATCGTAGCGGCCGCCTTTTGTGTGTGCTGGTCCCGGGTGGTAGGGTAGGGCGAGCGAGGCCTACTGCCAATCGGGGACATTTGGGCTTGGTCCGTAATATCTGGCTCCGCTTTTCGACACCGCCTCATAACGTTCACGCACTATTTTCTTGTTGTTGTTGTGATTAGTTTTTTTTTTGTTGTTGTTGTTATTATTGCATTTAATTAGTATTGGAAATTATTTTTGTATTGCATACGCGTCTCATCGTCGTGTGTATAATATTTTGTTTACACCGTGTTCGCGTTGTACTCGTCAGCGACGACTCCAATATTTGCATTATATTGTCAGGTGGTCACCTATCGCGATGCTGCTCGTATTTGCTATTTAGTCGTTTCGTCAGTTGTCGCCGTCGCTGACAACTAATAACGGTAACGCGATTCTATAATATATTTTCATATTCTTACGTCGCGCGTTCCGCATTAAAACCAGACGAACGGCGGCGGTTCCTCCAGTCACGATGGAGGCGGACGATCACCAGGACGACGAAATCAAGGAGTCGATGAGCGATACCGAAGACGAAAAAGACGTGAAGGTGAGAGTCCGTCCCCACTTTCGACCCGATGTTAATTTATGGATGGGAAAAGTGGCCGGTGGTGGTTAGTAGGACGTTTTAACTGCCGTCAATTTATCGGGACCATTTTTTTTTGTTTCAAATCGACTACGACCTTAACAGAAAAATATCTTTTCCGGGCGAAAACGCGCCAAATTTCCTGCGTTTGTGGTAGTCACCGCAGAGTTAGCGAACGACCGCACTCGTTTAAGTGTGTGTGTATGTGGTTATGGGTTCGTGTGCGTGCTTACGCGTGACATTAATGGGGGGGAGGAGTCATTCTTCGTCGTCGCGGACGTGCCGCGGGGTCGGGAAAATGGGCGGAGGGGCGATATTTAAGGATGTAACGAAAAGCGTTCCGAACGTCGTACACACCGCGTGCACCCCCCACCAAGAGCCAAGCTCTATCCTTCCCCACAGCCTCCTCGGTGGTGAACATTATGTGATTGTGAAATGGGAATTGGGATGGTAACGGCTGACCGAACAAGACGGATGGCAGAGCGGTGAATCTAAAACCTGAGCCCTACTACTCTGATAGTTAATATTTATTTTTGCACTTATTGTCTGTGTCACTTTGGCCCAAATGTTTCATTCAAGGGTCTATAATCTTCCTGTCCAACTATTTTTTGAAAATGTTCAAATCAATACTATTTATCGTGCCGTTGTCCCCACAAGGCTAATCGAATTGATTGCTAGGCGTCCAAATTGATCGGTTTTTAAATAAATCAACTAAAATCCATAGTTCAGATGGTTGCTTCATCAATGGTTTTTGTTCATCATTTAATCATTAGGTAATCAATAGCTATTTGGCAAACACGTAGTTATGATAGGTATATTGATTGGCATAAATATGTAGTCCTCGTATACTATTCAAACCTTTATTTATTGATTTCTGCAGGATTGCAATAAATATCTGCTATCAATTTTAAAGCTAGTACCTACTTATCTATCTATGTAGTCTTAAATGTTTCTAAATTAGTGTCATAATGCAAGGGTCTCCAACCTTTTTATACGGCGAGCGAAATTTCAGATACGCTTTGGCATCGAGGGCCTACATTTTTAGAGGAATAGAGCGGTTGAGAAATTGAAGAATAGATGAGACTTAATTAGAAAAATGAATGATTGTTTATATACTTTTTCTATTTTTATAGGGTTAGTACTTAATATATAGACTATATATACCTACTGTATAAATGACTATTATAAGCTGTTACGAATAACACCAAAATAAAATAATAATAAATTAATTTAATTTAATTAATTCAATAAATTAAAAACAATGAAAACTAAATGAAAATAATATAATAAATATATTATAATATAATAAATATATTATTTTCAAAACATTAATTAGCTTGGTGGGCCAGTGAAAAAATATTGGTGGGTCGGACCCGGCCCCGCGGGTCGTAGGTTGGAGACCCCTGTCATAATGCATAATATAGTAATTTACATGACTGAGGTACACATCTACTTTCTCTTCGAGTTATGTATGTTATGGGATACTTAAACTAATATACATAAATCATATAATAACATAATATAAGATAACAATATATTCATTTTACAGCTCCAACAGCAGCAACATCAACAACAACAGCAGCAACAACAACAACAACAACAACAACAGCAACAACAAGACCAACAGCCAACTATAGTACAAATGCACAATGGTCAACCTCAAATTATTACTTTAGCCAATCTCCAGAATTTATTGCCTATGCAGCAAGTTCAACAATTGACTCAGAACCAACAAAATCAGGGCATCAAAACTATAACATCAAACGGCACAACAATACAACCAATATTTTCAGTTCAGGGATTACCGGGTCAATTTATTCAGGTAGATAACAGTCTTATAAATTCTATATTTTTAGTTTTTCCTAGCTTGTCTGATTGTTTCATAAATCATAATAGCAAAATAATCAAACAATAACAGTTGATGGACAAGAAGCACTGTTCATTCCTACAAATTCAAACAATGGTCAAGGGGCACCTACTATATTTACACCAACAGGACAGATAGTACGACCATTGCAAACAATACAGCTTCAATCCGGTTTGGAAAATAGATGAATATTTACATTGTGCATCTTATAATTTAAATTCAATATTTCAGGGCAAAACATTTCTGTACGTCAATCGAACATGCCACAAGTTGTACAATTGCCATCTGTTCAGCAAACTATACCTGTTCAAGTGCCTATATCGTCTAATGGTCAGACTATATACCAAACGTTGCATCTTCCTATACAATCTTTTGCTTCTTCTTTACCAAACATCATACAGGGTAATCAAGGCCAATTGATGCAAATCCCCCAATTGGCTCAAATGACTCAGTCGCCTCAAATGGCACAAATAGTTAATAGTAATGGTCAGATACAGACCGTGCAATTAGCATCACCAATTGGTAATGGCCAACAAATACAGTTAGTGAATACATCCAGTGCAAATAACCAGTACCAAAATACAACAACTCCAGCTACTTCACCAAATGTTATGCATGTAAGTCAATACTATCTTTTAATCACTATTTAGTATTTAAATATTTTATTTAATGTCCAATAAAATATTTAGACAAATTCATCACCAAATTCATCTTCGAGTAGTAATGATAATAGTCCACAACCACAACCTGTGACAATTCAAACACAGTCGGGACAAACTTTACAACTTATTCCTCAACAACTAACTCTTGGAAGTAAGGGTTGATAACAATTTAACAGTTTAATTAAAATATTTAACAAAATATTAATTTTTTTTTAACCAAACTTTTTTGTTTAGATAATCCTCAACAATTAACAGTAATACCAGCAAACAACCTTCCTCAGTTTTTACAAAACAATAATGGTGTTACTATTAGAGGAAATAATGTTGTTCAGGTACTATTTTTATTAACTATAGAAAAAATCTCATCAAAAGTGTTACTGCTGGGTATTTCTTTTAATTTTTCTTCCATTTTCAATGATATGAATCAACTACCTACTCACTTATGCTTATTGTAAATACAATAACAGATTGTAAATTTCAAATAAATTAAAAAAAAAAAAACTCCTATTTAAATTATAATAATATAATATATTAATATATTATTATAATAATTTAATCTAATATATTTATATCAATAGTTACCAGCAACTACCCAAAACACAAATCAACCACAAACTGTGAATATACCAGGAATTGGAACTGTTCAAATCATTACTTCTCTTGGAGGACAAAGCACGTCCAATGCCACTCAAACATTACCACCTGGTCTACAAAATATACAAGTTATCAATGCTGGTATGTTTTTCAATATTTATGAATTAAATAAATTATTTGATTGTGAATTATTTTTATAGCAACTGGACAACAAATAGAAAACATGGATCAAAAATGGCAAATTATTCCAATCGCTGGAACAATGTTCCAGGATGGGAGTTCAGTAACTGAATATGATTCTCCAGGTGAGGAAAAACCACGAACAAGAAGAGTAGCATGTACATGCCCCAATTGCTGTGATGGTGAAAAACGGTATTTAAATTACTTTTATTATTATTTTTAAAAACTAAATTCTATTTATATTTCTTTGTGTTCACAATTGTTATATTGTTTATAGAAATGGTGCTGGTAAGAGGGTACATATTTGTCATGTGCCAGGCTGTAATAAAATGTATGGAAAAACATCTCATTTACGTGCTCATCTTAGATGGCACACAGGTGAACGGCCTTTTATTTGTAACTGGCAACACTGTGGTAAACGATTTACTAGATCAGATGAACTTCAGGTACAAAATTATACTTTTAATTAATAAATATATCAATATATAATCATAAACCAAATGTTTGTAAATTATAGAGACATAATAGAACACATACCGGAGAGAAGAGGTTTCAGTGTAATGAATGTCCTAAACGGTTTATGCGCAGTGACCACTTGCAAAAACATGTTAGAACTCACTTGAAACAAAAATTGATGGTATGACTAAATGTTGATAATTAATAAATAGCAAATAGCAATTAAATGAGAACTAGAAATATTTTTCTAAACTAATTTTGTGTGTATAATAGTATTAAATTATTAAGTTTATTAATTATTTTTACAGGAAGGTAATAGTGTTGTTGTTGGCTTAAAACAAGATTCAGAAGTGGATGATGAACTGGATAATATAGCTCCCAAACATCATAATATGAATAACATCATTTTAGAACAGGATGATGATAGTTCCTCTTCTTGTGAAAATAAAATGATTATTTTACATGATGAAAATGTGTAACTTTTTTTTATATACATATTTTACATGTGTAATGATTTTATTTTATATATTTTACGAATGTAGTTTCCATTAGTTGATTTATTTGTTCATGACTTATTATTATGTTAATAATTTGCTATTATTGTGTACTGTTATTTTTTTGGGATTGATATTATGTTACCAATCCATAGTTATTTTATATATTAATATTTTATTTATTCATTAATTTTTACAACTTATTAGATATTTCATTTTATACATGGTACATGTAGAATATAAGCCATATACAAATTATTTGATATAATATTATTGTATAACTTGTGTGAACCCATATAATTATTGTTACCCTCCAAAATGTTTTATACATATTTTGTACAGTTGTCATTATAACAAGACATAAATGTATGTATTTATGCTAAAGATGTAAAATAAATTACTTGACAAAACAATAATATTTAATTTGTTTTCATTATCATGAGGTAAAGTTATAGTAAGGCAGTTATTGTGTTGAGTTATCAATCGCATAACAAAATCATACTAAACTTAGTAGGAAAAAAATCTTGTTGCCTCCTGCACAGTGCACAATCATCCATGGTATTAGAATATGAATTTGTAATGAGTAATGACTAAAAGTAATATTCAGGTATATGTCTATAGTAATAATTAGTAATTAATAGAATATGTAGGTACCTATATAGTACATTTGTATATAACAGGTACTAATGGTACTATATATTTGTATACCTAATTATATTATGGATGATATTTATAAATTATTCGTCCAAAGATAATCTTATATTATGTTATTTACTAACGGACACCATTTCAATTTATTTTAAGTGTGCCAAATTTAAGGCGGGCCACTTCTGAAAATATTTAACACCGTCAAGCAACAAGTCCTTACGTTGGTATGTAGTTACTATGTACCTATTAGATAGGTAATAGTCAATAGGTCCGTACTAAATTATATAATATATTGATCTATTGAAATAATAATCATCTCGGACGTTTATAATTTAGGTATGTGAATATTATTGATGTACGCTTTGGTTAAACACTGAAAAATATGTGACCATAAGCATAAGGAAATTTGAACGATATAAAATAATAGGTAGGTACTTAACTATATTTTATACAAGATACCACGGTGTTTGATTTTACAGAATAAAAAAATACATTTTCAGCTTTTGACAAAGTTACGATGAATTTTCTAATAAACCGGGTCCCGAATGTTTTGGTGGTTAGGTATATTCTTCATGCACTGGTCGAATAAATATATAGGTACTTAGGTACCTAAACTATTAAATACTGATATTATATTACTTTGTGTTTTATTTTGTAGCGGCGGAGTTGTGGACACACAAACGTCGTCGTCGGTTTGAGTGTTTGACAGTTCCAAACGAGGTTAGGTTTTAGAAGATTGTACATAGTAAAAATAATAATTACTATTATTATTGCTTGAGTCGTTACACCGGCGACACATATCACACGTCGATCAAACAAGATAGGTACATACAGTGGATACCAGATGAAACAGTACCTATTATATTATATAAGAAACGTGACATTTAAACACGCAATAGAGTGCGATTATATATATAGATACGTATAAATGTACTTTGTTTCTCCTTGGTCAAGTAATATGATGATCAATTTTCACTATAAAAGAGTTCTTTTATTAATTATTAAGAAACAAATATAAATAATACTAAACATACTATTTATAAAAGAAAATCGATTTTTCATAACTAATAACTTTCTACTTTCGAATAATACAAAATATAATAATAATTACTTAACAGTAAAAATACATGTAATATCTACTTAATAGTTAATAGATGGTACCTACCAGTGCCGCAATTAGGATTCTTGGGACCCCGGACACATTCAATGTATACGGGGCCCTGAAGTCTATGTATAATATAATATTTTTTATATTTTATGTACTTTTACAAAAATAAATAATGATGGTGATTTTCTTTTTAAAAAAACAAAATTTTTACAAGCACTTAAAACACCGAAAATCGTGAACTTCGTAAAGCTTTACCATAAAAACTAATAATTTCCGGCAGTTAATTTTTGCATCATAGATATACATCTTAACTGGTCGCAACACATGGGTTACCGAAAAAAAAAAATTGAAAAATTTGCTTGAGCGCCGCTTAACTAGATTATAAATTTATAACACTAAATTAAAAAAATATTTTATAGGTTTTAAGAAATTGTCTTCAAATTACCACATTTAATTATTTTATATAGTGATATTATTGGTAGGTTCAGTTTCTATTTTATAATAGATCAATAGCCAATAGGTTACCTAAATCACATTTTTTTAAATTTAAATCCCGGTAGTCGAGTTTTTGGCAAGTACCAAAAAGGCGACTTATAATAATTCACATTGTAATTTAATAGAATGTCTATACATTTGCGGACCAGTTTCGTATAGTTAAATTTGGCATGCGAACTATGAATAAAATAGAAAACCAGAATAAGTACATTGCTGATCACAAAAATTTCTGTAAAAGTACGTACGATTTACCAAAGACCGTTTAGGTACTTAGTAAAGAGTTCTATTATAGCTAGAAATTAAATGTTTTGCAATTATATATTTTACTATAATTATTATTTTCCATTATCATATAATATAACAATACACTTTAAATTAAATTAGTTGTTATCAAGACAGACAGTCTTAAGACCAACTCTTTTCTGGATGTTATCAAAACGGATTATGCTTAAAAAAATTTTACAGTCGTCGTTAATACTTAATAGAAATGCGGATGTTTATACTTCATAGATATTTTTTTATTGAAATCTTGTAAATAATTGAATTAAACAATCGGGTACAAATCACTAGTATCAATTTTATTATATTACGTGTAAAATCACCGGAACAAAGTGCAGACTGCAGATTATTAAGTATTAGTACAGCAGTAGGTTATAGTCATTTTTTCCCAAAAAATTACATTTAAAAGTGTCATAGTGTATTCGTGTATATAAATTATAATAATATACTCTATTTATAGTATATATTTGTGATGTCTATAAACTTGTGGACTAATTAGTTTGGTTAAATTTAGTATACGATAAATAACTGAAATCAGTGGTCGAAATGGCTCAAGATAAGTGGAGGGATGCCTTACAATTCAAATTTCCTGATATCAATATATCATCATAACATTCTTCATATCTTGTATAGTATTTTTTTTTATAGTTCACATTTTGTTTATGCATCAGAATACTACAATCTTTTTCGATTATAAATAATCTTTAAAACTAAACAAATAAATAACATATTTTCAAATTTTTCAAAAAAAACTGATAAAATATTTTATTTATAATATTTTTCTGTGGACTTATTATCATCAATATTGTTATTGTTTTGTGATATTAAAATATTATGTTATTAGCTCTAAACACGACTAAGGTATATGTAAATTCTTAATCCCTGGCTCTAAATACGGGTATAGATAATATGATTGCGAAACGGCTTATACGAAAAATAAAAGTTTTCTTATACATAGGTATAAATATAAAAATCATAATAATTATTTCATTTTAAAACACAAGTCTTAGGAGGAACGCTTTATTCTAGACAAAATAAGTAGAGGGATGAAAAATGTAAATACAAAAAAGTAGAGGGATGTCATCCCTCCGTATCCCCCCCCACTTCGACCACTGAGTCTGAAATAGAAAACAAGAATACATTGCAGACCACAAAGATTTCTGTAAAAGAACACACGGTGTATCAATAGACCGTGTATGTGTGTTGAGTGTAGAAGTTCTATGGATTTATCATATTAAATAATATATTTTATATCATCTATGGCAATCGCCAATTGTCGATATTCGTCTGCGACTATTAACAATTCTAATAATTTTAGTGAAAAAAAAAATAATAAGCCATCAATATAATATACAGATAGTTCGTTAAGCAGTATATATTATAATGTAAGTTTTAACACGAATTCGCACATTTCGTTATGTTCAGGTAATTTTCATGAAATATTTCGATAGTTTCAAGTTACAGTTCGGAACGAGATGAAGACGGATGAAGATAGCTGTTTTTTCGGTGGCTTCACGTACTGGACGTTTGCATTGTTGATGCACTCTAGCTAGGTTTCACCGGAAGAGTCGATGTTTCAGCGTAAGTTTGTTTTCATATTATTTTGGGATTTACGTTTACTTTTTAGGCATTTTAATAATTAAAAACATAATATAACGTAATGTTGTAGTAGAAGCTGGAAACTGTAGTGCCTATATTCTAACTTTTGATTTTTTTAAATTTTAATGTAACATTTATTATGCCTACACAAAACACTTTTCTACAAAAATTGAATTAAAAATAAACAATATGATCATTGATTACATACGGAGTACCTATAATATATTATGCATGGAAAACGAAGGTCGAATTTGACTACCTACTTATCGTGTACACATCAAACACAACAAAGAAATAATAAAAAAAAATTAAAAATTAAATACACATCATAGTAAAATCAAAATATTCATCGTTCCACTCAGAATCTAAAATACAAATTATAGGTCCCCGATACAATTAAAATTTTCATAATATTGAATAATAATTAATAATTTTGTGATCAGCAGTATTCGTAGAAAATGTTAGATTTGAAATTTTAGAATCTAGTTGGTATTATAGCCGATACTGTAAATTTGATGAATTTACTGAGTATATCTTTATGTTACCTAAAATCCAGTAATCACATTTTTATTTAATGATTTATAAAATACAATACGCTTTTATAAAAATATGCTTGTACTTCTGCAGATATCTATTCACCATATTAATTAATAATTAAATTAATAAACGAAAATAAAAATTCAAATAATATATCATATTTGATACCTATTATTATTATAATTCAAATTCAAAATTATAAACTATTTTGATTTTTGTCATACAAAATTTCAACGAACAAATATTGTTCCTTAACATGGAACTCTTTGATATAAAAAGTTGCATTATATGATATCCGTGGATTCATCATATGACGTAC